GTCAACACATTTATGAGCCGACTTCCTTATCTGCACTGTAGCGCACAATCTTGAAAAAAGTGAAGATCTTCCAACCATCACCTCTGATTTCTGTATGGACGTACATAGCACGATGCCAGTACAGATTGAAGTACCCACCACACTACACATTACTCACTTCACTCAGCAGTACTGACTCTACTCCGTTAGCTTACCCACCAAATTACTGTTTATATGTAAGAATGAAATGTAGGGTAGAGCTGGGTTTTCCATATCACTATCTTATCGTAATCATAAAGTTTTCCGAACGGACAGACAGATACACAAAGCCACTGTTTTATAAACAAAAGAGATAGTGAAGCCGTTGGACAGGTTTCAAAAACCGCGATGACACCAACATTTGAGTGCTCAGCTTAGTCTAGTCGCATCCGGAAGAGTTTTCAGAGGAGGTCCTCCCGTCTTCGCCCAGCATATGCCAAGAAGTCACTAATATTGGTGGAGGGTACTACATTTTGTGTTTCTCTTCATACTAAAATAACTATCGCCCAAAAATGACATTTCTGAGCTGACACCGGCCACCGTCCAAAAACCATATTTTCAATCATGGCTGCAGGCGAGATCACCATTCCCAAGTTCACATGTAATATATCTCAATCACCTGAAAGTATCTTTTTCCTTCTTTCACTTTTACTAACTTCTCATTTATTGGGAAACCTAAGAAGGCCTACCAAAACAGAAGTCTTGCACCATGAGAATACTTCAGCTCATTCAATTACAACATCAATAGATGTATATGGGGAATTACTATAAAATATTCTATCCCCTTCCACTTGTAACGAAATTGCTTTTAGAAGAGCGAAAGTCCCAAACGCTTTTTCTGCTAATAAATCTGTATGTAAAATGCCATCAAAATGAAGGTGTTGCATTCTACGTTGCTCAAACAGAAGCATTCCCATTAGTCTAAAATACTTTCTATTAAAAGCTGTGCGTAATCAGTATAAAAATCTTTCCACGTCACCTTGCTTGTTCAAGTTGCTTTCTCGACCATGCAGGCCCTATCTTTCGCTTTCCTTCTCTTCATATCGCTATCAATCGTGGAAACTAGAAGAGGTAAGTGCAGAATCACTGTTGTGAGCCTACTTTTTTATCACGAAGTCTTCAAAGTGAAGAGGAACTCTTATGGGAAGCAAAACCGAAACAAAAGCATAAATAGTTGATCCCTGATAGTTTTTTATTGCTTTTTTTTTTGAGGTTATAGTCAAAAAGAAGGCGAAAGAGAAAGTGTACGTAGGTTGCCTTTTATATTTCGGGATTAGAGAACAAAAATAAATATTAAACATTGAAAATCGCTTCACTACCTTTCAAAATTCTCCTCATCAAGATCTATACACTTTTGCATGCGTTCGAACAAATTGTAGAAGCACTTTTATTTATTTGAATACACCCAATGGTGTGCCATACAACATGAGGGCATGGACTCTGAAGCAATTCTTATGTCTCTTATATCAACAACAACAAAAAAGAAGAAGAAGAAGAAGAGAAAGCTGTCACACACTTTTGTCACTTTGATTGAGGTAACTCTAAAACATGCACTCTGAATGCATCAACGGCTTCTTCAGGTGTCGAAAAACGTTGACCTCTCATTTTATTTTTTACGTACGAGATAAGGAGAAGTCACTCGAGGACTATATGACTGATGACCTATCAA